GTTTAATGTGCATTTCCAAAAACTGTTGACGAATTTCAATTTCGCCTGCTGGCCAACTTAAAGCGACAAACATTTTGTATTATGCATTGTTGTTCTTACTGTTGTTGGTGTGGTTGTGTATTCGTATTGTTCGCCCAGCTGCGTCCCCATATTTGTTCCATGTGCAATTTTTGCATACTTCAGCAAACGCGTCATATTTTCGAGTGGTTTCGCTAACATGCAAAGGACACTTGAGAGCCCAGGCACACAAGTGGATCCTTAAAGAGCATTTCTTCTGCTGCCGAGTTCTTGTTGCTGCTGTTATGTTGTTGTTCTTGTTCTTGTTGTTGTTGTTGTTGCTGCCGGCCAGGGGCTTGAGTGTAGCTACATTTTGAATGGAAACAATCCCGGTACCCAGTGCCTGCCTGATGGGCACGAAGATGTGATGACGATGACGATGATGATGATGATGTTGGGATGAGCCTCATACAGATGTATGTAAGTATGTGATGTATATCGAATGACTGCTGCTGAAACAGCAAATGTACCAAGTGTATTGAATGAGGCATTTAAATAGGGTGGCAAAACGTAACAAATCACTTTTAGAAAATATTACTTTTATATCGACGCTATTATGTAAAAAGCATAATCGGTTTTCTTTTGTGATTTTAAGAAATATGTAACAATTGCATATCACCGAGTTGACTAATTATAGTTGTAGTTGGCACTAAAGTATCAGAGAAACCGTAATTGAACAAGTGGAATTCATTAGATTGTCCAGTAAGAATGCAGGTGAAATACTTTCGGGCGAATCTCAGAGCACAATGCACTCAAGCACTTTCGGCATGTAACATGCAAACGCACACAATGCTTGCCATTTCCGTTTCCTGTTTACAGTGCAGCACATTCACACTGACAGCGACATATCCTGTACATAATGTACATATCATTTACGGTGTCAATCAGGACAGCCGCAGTCACCCGGCCGCAAAAATCAACAGCAATGCACTGGACACACTTCAAACAGACACGAGTATTTATGCGTGTGTGTGTGTGTATATGTGTGTGTGTGTGCGTGTGTGTGTGTGTGCGTGTGTGTGTGTGCTGTGCGTCTGCCATATCCTGTGCGGAATGTCCTAGGCTTCATTCGACCATTAAATGTATTGCGGTCATTTTAATATAAAATAATTAATTTCAATGCAAATATTTATAGCAGCAAAAATATGCCGCATAATTGATTCGTTGGCAGCTATAAGCGCGAGGGAGATGCACATTTACTCAGATTCAGATTCAGATTCAGAAAGAGAAGCAGTGCCAGTTGGCATTCAATTCAATCACAACAATAAAATAAACATAATAAAATACAGTATAAATACATTAAATGCCTTTCCTGCCAAACAGTTGGCATTTTCATACAGTTCCATTGAAATTATCGATTACGATGCCAAATTCTGCAATAAGCGACGCATTTTGTATTTGTGTTTGCTCGTACGTCCGCATGTGCGGTTGGACTGTGCCAAAAGCCATTTTGCAATTAAAAGCTTTAGACTTTGCAATCAATATATGAAATAATTAAATAAAATGACGTTTAATTAAATTGTCACGACCTTTTACGCAACAACAACAACACTAACAGAAACAACAACAACAGCAGCAGCAACCACAAATATTGTCGCCATGCTGATGATGATGCAAATGATAAGCAGCCAAGAGGCACTGCAAACCAAATAAAAAACGAGAATAACAAACGCAAAACCGAGGAATGCGCTTAATTTGTGTGATGAGCTTGTTGCAGATAGATACACTTACTTCGCAAGGTACTATGAAATATAAGCAACCTTTTGTAAACTGGTCAATAGTAAATCTCACTTATAAAAAAAAAAACAGCAGATTTATATCTCTGGATCATAACAGTGACAGATTTATTTGTGCGTCTTTCAGTTACCAGCAATAAGACAAAGTATATTTCTTAAGTTAGGAAAGTGTATTTCATACTCATTTGTGTTCTTATACATTTTGTGTTCTTTTTTTTTGCTGTACTTTTGTAAATTGAGTTTCTCTTCGCGCTCGCATCACAAAAATGTGACAGCTAGTTAATGACCCGCACTCTGCACACCCCCGCATTCCTTGCAACACTTGGGCACTAACCACTTACTCAACTGGCCTCATGTCCGACCGCCTTCAATTAAATTCAATTGGGTTTTGTGCCGCTTAAAACGCCTGCGCGCGTGCTCCAATTTAGTTAGCGAGTTGTGAGTTGTTTTTTCTTTAGTAGAGAAGATCATCAGCCATATCCATTGCCAGCTAACAAAATGCACTTTGCGGCTGCTGCTTGCGAGGCGATAGGCAAATGAGTTTGCGCATTAGAAGACACTCAAGACGACAAAAAGGAAAGCGGGGATAAGAAGGGGGAATGGCCCGCTGTGCGCCGCCTGTCAGCATATCAACGCAATTTGTGCACTAGCCAATAGACGTCGGCAAATTATGGCCAGCGATGCTCGGCGACTGCGCAAAGTGCCTCATAAATTCACGTCGCTGATGCAGTGATAGTGAACCAGAGTCAGTGCCAGACTCAGAGCTGGTGGCAGGAGCAACTGCAGCAACAAAATCAGCAACGACAGCAGCAAGTAGCAGCAACATCTGCGTTTCACGGCAGCTCCAAGCTCGAGTCTACAGATTGTTTATGGCAGCGGCGAAATTTGCTCAATGGCCCAACTAATGTGCTGCAGATAATAAGCCGGGAAGTGCTTGCAGTGCATGGCAATTAGAAAGTACCTACAAATAGATTGACAAAATCCAATGATTAGTATAAATACGTTAGTCCGCTGCATTTTGTAAATACTTTGCATCAAGTATTAAATTTGAGCAGTTGCTTTTTGGTTGACACAGTTTGCGTTTGGCGTAGTTGTTCTATTAACAACCAGCATCATCCAAAGCTTAAAACACTTCCGCATCGTCATTGTTGTGTGGCGCTGACCTACGTCTGGGCAACAGATACCGTCTGGACACATTCAAGGACAATGCCGTGTAATTGAAAGTCCGCGACTAAGTCGTAAAGCAAATTTAAGGACTTGAAGTGGTTGACAACGCCAACAAGGACTACAAGGAACACAAGTACCAGGCAAAAATATGTCGTAATAAAAAAAACTAAAGCTCGGCAGTCAAATCTACCAAGACGCTGCCATAAGCACAAAAACAAACTCTAGATAAAAAATTCAATAAGCTGCCCCAAGAGCGAGACAGGATACTCGCGAGGAGGGGGGGCATGACACGAACCGTGACCGCTAAGCTGTGGCTACAGCGGCGGCTGCGACGGCGGCTGAGAAAGAGGCCAATAAATAAAATTAATAGAAACTCACTCGAACAGCTTGACCAGGCATCTGCAGGGCCCAGAAGCAGGAGCAGAATTGGCTGGGGCTTTGCTAGGGCTTTTTTTTATTATTATTTTGTTGACTTGTTGAATGAGCCAAGCGATGGCAACTGTTGAATGGTACTTGGCTGCCCTGTAGATGCAGCTGTGCCTGGCAAATATCTCACTCAAGGCTCTTTAATGTTTAATACTTACAAAGAAGCATGTGAGATTATTTCGCTACATTATATTTATTGGGTGAATTTAGTTTTTGTATTATAATTTTAATTATTTTCTATTAACTCCTTTGTTCTTTTATTCCATTTCAATCAACTTTGTCATCAATCAATTAGCCATTTTCCTGAAATGACCGAATTTATTTACCTAGTATAGCATTAACCAACAGTTCGGTTGCATCTGCCAGTCATTTCCAATGTGCAATTCATACCACGTTGCTGACCTCGCATTGAACTGCCATAAGAAATCACTCTGCCAGTCTCAAAATTGCTGATGTGGTGGCATGGGAGGCAAAATGTCTGCCAGGTGGCGTAACGCCCACTTTCAACACTTGCCACAACAATGGCGCGCAAATATTTGCGGAACCCAGAGTCAGAGTTAGAGTTGAAGCCAGACTCTGCAGTCAGGAGATCAATGAGCGACTGTCTGACTAGCTAGCTGCCTGGCAGCCTCAATTTGAAATCCAATAAAATTTAATTGGAAACTTCATCACGGGTGCGAAAATTCACACTTGGCCAGCTGAGGCAAGGCGAGTCAACGATAGACTGGGCCAGGGCAGCGAGCAGTCACGGGCACGACTTGGCTGCCGTTTGCCGTAAATCTCATGCACCTGGCGGCGACTGGCGACTTCGACTTCGACTTTAACTTCGACTCCGAATCCAACTACGATTCTCTCTGCAGCGCATCGCGATAAGAAAATATTTTTCATATGAAAAGCGTTGCGCTTGCGCCATTTCAATGCTCCGTTTCGTTTCGTTCCGTTATTGGCCATGGCTTCAATGCTTTATTTATGCTTTTCCTTTAGCCATGCCATATCTTGTGCAATTGTCGACATTAATCGCTTTGTTGCGCCAAAAAGTATAACATGAAATTGGATTGATTTATGTTATAATTACAAAAGCTGGCGCATATCGCCATAGCAAACGAAGCAAAAGTTTTGCAGACGGTAAACACCAGATCGAAACACAAACACAACAATCCTAATAATGATGGTGAGTGAGTTAGGAGCTTTAAAGACAGAGGCTGTGCTCTCTAAAGTGTCGGGGAAAAGTCATTAAGATGCCAAACTCAGTAGATTACTGCGAAAGGCTTTGCGAACCATCAAATCATTTATACGGTGTCTATCCTTGGTACAAACAGCAAATGAGTAAATGATTTGAGAGGCTGATTATCACCCTATTATCGGAAAATTGCCTGAAAGGGAAGGAAGAGTTTATTAACTTATATCAACTAACCGCTTTTTGCCAATATACAGACACATGGTGAATTAAATAGGGTATAGACTCTTACCCCTGTAGGGTATACACTCTTTGCCAACTCAAGAGCTCATTCACAAGTTCACATCGTTTTTTTTTGTGGGCAATAAAGCCCACATTCAACTAAAATTGATTGCATTTCCAAGTTGAACTATGCTTTGAAATAAAACACATCGTAATTCCTATTACAATATATAACTGTAGAATTTTGATAGCTCTGGCAGATTAACAACACTCTACCAGAGAGGAAGCCAAAAGCTTTTGTGCCATTTTAATAGGTCGTCGAAAAGACAGTCAATCAAATTTAAATTCTTCAGAGAAATGTTGGATTCTTTGTATGTTAGAGAAATGTTGGATTCTTTGCGTGTTAATCATGGGAAGATTGTCTGTATTGCTGCTTAGAAAACGGGAATGAGGTTCCATCTATTCCATGAAATCCCACCAGTCCTTTTCGTAGCCCTCACGAACATGGCATAGGAGAACGGTGCGACGCTTCCGACAGTAGTGCGTTAAGTCAAGGACCTTTTGCTTCACCTCGTAGAGATTCTGTACGGTTATTTCGCGTTCCAGAAACTCGGATATCTTCTCCGTGGCCATCTCCATGTCACGCTGATTGTCCTCGAAGATGATCTTCTGGTTGTTGTTGCGCAAATAGAAGGCAAATACATAGCTGTACAAAAGCGTTGCCCGACAATGGCATAACACATCGACGGCCTCCTTGAGGAACTGCACTTCGATCCAGCTCATATTCTCCTGCATATCAGTCATTTTGGCCTGGACGCTGGCATACAGTTTGTGCTCCGCGCGCATGCTCATCATGTGATTCATATGGCGATTGTAATAGTGCAAATATCGAGCCATAGATGATCGACAGCGCTCCTGTGCCTGCCTCGCCTGTCTGCCCTCGTCCTCATCGAAGCGATTGCAGCTGTACCAGGACGAGCCATGTGGCTCCCACGAGCCAAGGCACACCCAGCAGAAGTCATACAGGCAATGGACATTCTTGCACACCATATGATTGCAGCCGCCATCCTTCTCGATGGTCGCGTTACATTTGGGACACTCCTTGGTATGCTGCGCTATCCAATTTGAGGTTTCCGAATCTTCGGCGTTCTTCTTCAGCCAACGCTTCAGAAAGGCACAGCTCACAGGCTCGTGCCAATTTTCGCCACAGCCAAAGCAAAACTCATGTCCACAGGTGCATCGCACGGCACGCGACTCACAGTAGCTGGCCTTGATGGCATTGGTGCAGCTGGGGGCCGAGCACCAGCGCATCAGTGGATTGCACTCCACAAAGGTGTTGGTGATCAGCTGCTGGTAGCGGGCAATCACTTCCATATTATCAGCCAGCTTGACGAACGATACATCATCGACCAAGATATCACAGTCACTGGCGGGGCAAGTGATGCTGTGAGCTAATCCCTCACTGCATGTCTTATTGGCCAAATACTGCTTCCAGCAGGCGGAACAGAATGTGTGACCACAATCCAGGCCCTTCATATCATCACAGGGGCAGTAGCAAATACCGCAGAGATTTTCAATCACACTCACAGTCGACGGTGACTTAATGCATTGCGTTGAGGGCGTGGAGAACGGATTCACTGCATGGGCGCGCTGAAAAAACTCCTTTGGAGTGCTCTCAAAGTACTTCTCGAAGAGCGTCTCCTTGTCCCATTTGAAGTGATTCAATATGATGCGTGTGAGCTGCGGCGATAAATGCAGCACATTATTGACCTCGTCGATGATATTACGCTGGTCCTGGACAATCTGATCTGCCGTGAGGACTGTGTAGGCGAACTCATCCAACTCGTCGAAGCGCCTGAGTCGATCAGGTAAATCGATTTCTGTGCAGATGTCCTCATCGCTATCTACACAAGTCATGAACGACGATTGGCTGTATATGGAACGCTGCGAATCTCCGTGATCTTGATCCGAGTATTCGTCGTCAGAGCTCATATTCGAATTGAAATAAGAAAAGTTCAAATACTCATAAACACAATGTGCTACGCCTACTTGGATGCACTGTGAAGTGTGTCGCTTATCAACACTGCAACCAAACTTTTTACATACTAATTTTAATCTGTCGATAAGTTTTAATCGAACTTTCAGAAATTTTGTGGAGGAGCAGAAATATATTTTGCCTAAATGTGACATTTTGATGCAGCAATAGATCCTTATAAGTTCCACAAGAGCAAGACAAGATGAAAGAACATCTCAAAAAACATATTTATTAGTGTTTCTTATACATTTTATAGACAAATTGTTATATCCATGGCTTGTTAAGATTTGCGGTTGGGAGTTTCTGTAGACTTTGAAAATGCATGGAATTTACTCTTTCAATCGGCACTCAGAACACTAAAAAAAAAAAAGCGCCTAAAAGCTTTTGGCGTATTCCATAACCATAACCCCTTCTTTGTGGAACATAACAGAACAGACCAGAGCTGAAGCAGAACAAAGCAATGTCTCAAGTGGCAAGGGTAAGGCACAAAAATTGCGATAACAACAACGAAATGCGATATAAAAGTACAGTGCACCACACACAATCTACACAACCAAGCGAATGAGTATGCGAAATGAAAGTGAACGAGCGCACAAGGATAATGGCGAATGGCGGTGCGGGTAATGAGTGTGCATAATGCATATGCAGCAGGAGCAGCAGCATCAGCAGCAGCAGCAGTAGCAGAAGTAGTGGCAGTAACAACCAGTCCCATTGAACGCGGCGAATGCCGCGAATGGATTCAATCTGCCGTGTTCTGCATATGCATGTACACACAAACAAATACAAATACAAATAAAAATAAAAATACATATGTATTTATGTGCTCTCGTACTACGAGCTGCTTTTTAAAACAAAAGCTGCCTGCTAACCCGCCAGCAGCAGCAGCAGCAGCGGCCGCAGTCAGCAACAAAAAAGCATTACAAATAAAAATGCAAAGTCGCCAAAAAGCAGCAGCAGCAGCAGCAGCAGCCACAAATCCCTTTCATCAGCATTGAGTTTGAGAGTCTGGGGCAGCAGCAGCAGCCAACCCTTTCCAGCTGCTTTTCAAGTCTCAGCCAAATTACAAGAAATCCTTTCGTGCGCGTGAATGCTTTGGTAAAATACAAAAAAAAAAGAATGAAAATATAAAAAAAAAATGGATCGAAAAACGTACCAAAAGCCGAGCAAAGAAATACGGAAAAGGAAATAATTTGACCATTTGCAGCAAATGCAGAAAAACAGCCGGCAAATGACAACAAAAGGCAGTCAGCCACATTGCCCACAAGGGTACTATGAGGACCAGCAGGGGTAACAGGGAGTAAGGAGGGAAGGGTAGGGGGCTAGAGCGTGTCATGTCATGTGTGGGCGGGCGGCTTTTGGGTCGCTTGAGCATTGCAAAAATTTCTACGCTGCCAATGCAAATGAGGACGCGCCACTTGTTGGCCACGACTTTTTATCATTGACAATCGGGCTAAGGCTCTTGGCTCTTGGCTCTTGGCTCTGGCTCCAACTGTAGCTAAAGCACAAGCTCGGACCACGTCCGGCATTTGCTGATGGTCAGCAACGATGGCCAAGTTCATGGCCCTGACGTGACCACGCCATGCCACGCCAAATGGCCAGGCCTGCCTGACTGCCTTTATGATGATGATGATAATGATGATGATAATGATGATGATGATGATGCCACTTGGCTGATAGGCGAACTTCAGCGAACATTGTCGCATTTTTGTGCGCCTACTTTGGCACACAACTATTTGCGGTAAAATTTCTTGAGAAATATTTTTTGCTAGTGTCTCTGCCACAGCTGCGTCCAGTTAGCAATGTTCAGTTGAGTCACAGCCCAGAATCAACTCGGCGTCATAGCTTGCACCTAAGGATGTTCACTCGAATCTCATGTAAATTAGCAAGCTAATTACAAGACCTTGCACACTGTGTACACAACTGAACACAACAAAATTATAATAGAACAGAACAGAACAGAACCGAACCGAACTGAACGGATGTGTGCTGATCGTGGCGATAAATGCGCCGGCATCGCATTATAATTACTGTCCATTGTGTGTAGTTCGTTTTCGAAATAGTTTTTTATGTGGCTGCGCAAAATTAGCTAGAAATCAACGAGCATGAAGCGCCACACACAAACAGAAACACACACAGAGTGAAGAAAATCATCGCTTGGAACTAATTTGATTTTGATGAGACGTTTAAAATGATATAGATAGAAATAAGTATGACTTAGTTTTAAGTTGCCAACCAAGATGAGTTACTACATTAACGGTTTCTCTAGACAACAAAAATTAATCTACTATGGCTCCATTCCATTCCATCCCGTTCTGCTCAATTTTATTCGGTTTTATGTTCCATTCTGACCTTGAGGTTCGGCTTAGCGGGTTTCTGGTTCCGGTAGCGGTTGCTTAGGCTCCGCTTCATATAATTAAAAAATTCATTTTAAATTTTTAACATTATGGCAGAGATTTATTATGCATGTATATTTTTTTTTTTGTTTTTTTTTTTTCTTCATCTTTTGACTTAAATTGCAATTAGATGGGATACGATCATTTATCAAATTGCGTTAGGAATTAGGGGAATATACAATTTAATATGCTATAAAATACACATACTATTTATATATTAATGTATATCTTAAGTCCAGCTTAAAGAATGGTTATTTATGATTTTATGTGTGATGTGTTTTTATTTCAATTTCTCTGAATATGTTCAATTGTCAGCCCATTTGTGTCTTGATTTGGCTGCCTTTTGATGTCGAAGTCAAACCTTTGTCAAATTTGCTTTGATACATCGCCATTGCTTGCTACCCCACCCTGGGGCATTCAGACCGAAAGAAACTCAGCCCACCCTCACCGACACTTCCAATCAAATGCCAACAACACAAATAAAATGCTACCAAAAAGAGAAAAAAAAGATGAAGAGGAAAAAAATCAATGCGACAAACACACAAAAGCCTTTGGCGCGAAGAAAAGTGAAAGTGCCCCTTGGATCCAAAGCAACCCCCGAAACAGAAAAAATAACACACCCCACATATGATATGCTTGCCTATCTATGTCCATCTCCCTCTCTCCACCTTATCTACTCTCTCTTTATCAACATGTGTGTGTTTTGCTGGTTGCGCGGCTTTTTGCCTTTGATATTTAAGCATTTCCGCCATCTTGAAGATGGTATGGGCACAGAGAGGAGGCAGCGGTGCCCCATGCATGGTGCCTAAGAAAGTGCGTTAAGAGGCAAAACTACGCCACTTCAAAAGCGAACAGTTTTTCGTATGAAAAGGCAAATCGGTTTTCGACGGCTCAGTTAGTTTGGGCCAGACATCAAAGCGGGGTTTTACATTTCGCCAATATTCTCGCGCTTTTGCGGCTTCTTTCTGTTGCGGCGTCACTTCTGACTTCTTCTGCCACCGCTGGGACAATGACTTTGGCGTCAGTTGGACGACATTGCCAGTTGCCGCTTACCAGTTACCAGTTACCAGTTTCCATATGGAATTATTTTAGTTTATACCTTGAGCAGTGAAAGTTCTACACAGTGGAATTTTGCGTGTTTAGTTGACATTTAGCCGGCTTGACATGTTCACACTCACATCTGAGGGCGGCTACATTTTTATGTTCTCCGTAATTATGAAAAAGACCTTATTAAATAGGGTATTTTTATGTACATACATTTATATATATATATATATATATTTTTTGGTAATTCAGTAGAGGAGTGGCAGAGTTCATTAACTGCTTATCAAAATGAATAGCAGCTTTGTAAAAGTCCAGGTGAATTTCAATACATTTGGCAACATGCCATAAAAAAGTTAATATGCGTAATTATGGTTAACCACAAAATTATTACTTATTAGGAGCTATCAAAGTTATTACTTTCTTGTTGCCCAACTTTTATTTATAACATGTGCATTCTTACATTGATGATAAAAATTACTTTACAACATTGCAAAAGGGACAATCTTGGTTAAATAAACGTTTACGCCACTGATTATAAGAAATTTATTTGCCGCTTATTCTCAGCTTATTTTGAGTTTTTTTTTAAATATTTTTTTTATTCCTTTTTGACGGCCTTTAATTGTTTGTCGTTTTGTGTTTTCGTTAGGTTTTTTGTTTGGACTGTGGCTGTCGTCTGGCACGTCTTGGTTGCCTCTCCCATTGTGTATGTGTGTGTGTGTGTGAATTTATGTTAGTGTGTGTTTCTAATGCATGTCACGTGACAAAATTGTATAATTTCCAAACGGGCAGCGGGCCGCACGTCGCCCATTGTGACATTTCCGGTTAATTTGGCGCCAGCTCAGCCCGGACTGCCTCTTGCCTGTGACCGGGAAAGGGACCGGAGACCGGGACAGGGACAGGGACGGAGACCGAGACCGGGATTGGAGCCGGTGGCTGGTGGAGGAGGGTCTGGGAACGTAGATTGTGACAGCGGCTCTCAGGCTACCTCAGTTGTTGGCACTCACACACACACACACACAGAAACACAATTTTGACACTTGGCCAAGCAAATCACGAGCTAAAAAATAAAAAAAAAAACCTTTTCCTTTCCCTTTTGCTTGCTTCAAAATGCAATTACCTTTCCCTCTAGTTAGCAGTAAAGTAACTCGACAAAGTCGTAACTTACTTTTCCTTTCATTTTGTGCCCACAAGCGAACAGTAAAACGCAAAGATCAATGCCAGTCGCAGTCAGTTGGCTCGGATAGCCAGAAATTAGTAAGTGCAACTAAGCAACCAGGGCGCCCACTCACAAGCCACTCACCTGGTTGGTGGTGGTGGTGCTGATGGTGGCATTGGGGCAAGCTGTCCCTCTCTCCCTCTCTCACTCTCTCACACTCTCTATCTCTGTCTCGCTCTTCCACTGAGCAGCAGCAGCAGCAGCAGCAGCAGCACAAGAGCAGCAGCTATGCCATGAGTAACTGACATTAATTCAAATTGTTAATTCATGCCTGTCACGCTTTGGTACAGCGGCGGTATCCCCACAACATTTCCTATAGACCCGGCTACGACTCTGGCTGTGG